TTTTTGTTTCAGACAATACCTGTTTTGACCACTGATGCACCATTTAACCAGGCAAAAGAAAATTACAAATGTTGAATCACTTAGTTCCATATTTTGCCAGCAAATATTGGCAATGTGATATTAAGCTGCTTCGGGGATTCCTTTCAAAAAAGTTGGCTATCCCTGTTTTAACTACATCTTTTAAAAAGAGACAGGGCATTATCCAATTTTAACTGACAGACAGGAAAGGAATAAGACAGATAAAGGAAAATTGGCAGGGTGTGGAATGAGGAAAAGAAGGTGTTCAAACAGTTGTATATTAATTCCCACGGTTGGTTTTGCAAAGCATCCCTGGAACGGGTGTAGGAAGAAACAAATACCCTTGAAACTCACCTTTGTAACATGCTCTTCCTCTAGGTCATCATCGTCACTATCCACTCCACTTAACCTAAAGAGTGAAAACAGAAAAGCAACTCTTTTAGTAGCCTCTCAGAAACATTTTTGCCATATACTAGCCTTGCCCAATCAGACACCTTCTAAACGACAAATTCCAGAACACCTAGCTAAGCCAGCAGTTTCTACTGGTCCTACCCATCCACCCCAACTTTGGCTTCGTGATTGAACAACTGGAAGATTCCATCACCTCTTGGGGAGGCAAAATTGATAGAATACCTAATCGAGCTGAACTCTTGTCCTAACCCAACCGCTTTCATGGCCCAACTTTTCTAGAAAACTTGCAACAGATATATATATTGGGGGGGGGGGGGGGGGGGGGGGAGAGAGATAGGCAGGCAGACAGGCAGGCTTCCCTGGAGACTTTAACTCCTTGCTTCAACCTCTTATGGTCATACTACCATTCGTACCTATTTCCTATTTTCTGCTCCTCATCGCTCTCATATTCTGTAAGGATCAGATCTTCCTCGTTCACATCTAAAACCTCCAAAGAACCAGGCTTAGCTGGGGAAGGTAAAATGTCCTTACTGAGCTGAAGCAGGTGCTCTGCCTCTTCCTCGTCCATCCGCTGAGATAAAGACAAGGAAAACATCCGTCAATGCAAGCCAAGTAGTCCATCATCCTAGAAAGGTAGGGAGTCTTCTGAGCTCCTACCTTTCTCAGTGAGGAATCAGTTCACGTGGGAGATCAGAGGGAAAATATATCTATATAATTTGTTATTTTTGGAATTTCTCAATACTTGTCTAATATGTTATGCCTACAATAAGTGCAGTCACTGCAAACCTGAAAAATCAATACAGAAACCAGATCCAACACAGCAATTCTTATCTAACTACAGATTAACTCATTTATCCATTTAATCCTAAACTCATACATTGTTCATGTAGTTTTCTTTGAGGCACTATAAGATAACCTTGGATCAATTTTTTTTTCATTCCATGCCATTAATCTGCAATTTGATTTCTCGGAAAATTATTTTACAGGGCTCTGTAAAACTTCAGTCACAGCACTGGAAATGCTCACCTTCCTTTTAGACGCATATTTCAATTTCACATTGTGTCGAATTTGCTCAAGGCATGCTTCTCGCTTCTTCTTCCTGATCTGCTCTTCCTAAAGAAATCAGAGAATTGCATGGAAAGCTCAACCACCTGGATCCTGAAATTTGCCATCATAAATATTTGTGTAAAATTACCCAACAATATATAACATTTAATGGATCTTTACAGTAGTTCCAAACAATGCATGTATTGTCAAATATTTGACAGGCAAAGGTAGGCCTCAATTGCATTTTAAACAGATATAATCTTACATTTCTCATTTTAAAATGATCTCAGTGTAAAATGAGATCTGTTCATAAGCAAGTCTTTAGATAAACAAAGGAAGACCAGATTTTGTCTAATTTAAAAGCACTATATCCTCTACTAAACATTATTTAATTATAACTGCAACTCTTTTGCTATTTTTAAGGGCCCACATACCACCATTATATTTTATTCATCTACCTGAGGATGGGAAGAATATATTTTAGTTTTTTATGAAGTACTGGAGTGCTGCCAAATACATTCATTTGTAAGTTTTTGAAGTATCAAGTGTCAATTTTATTTTCTTTAGATGCCATTTTCTTCTTAGAGTATCATATCTGATGATTCCTCATTTGATTTTGCTCTTTTTATTAAAATACAGCATGCGCAAAAAGTGGAAGAGTGGAAGTTACAATGGGGCAAGTGTCTGTAGTACGTTCTTTTCTATTTACATCTATGAATTCATCATCAGGATTGAATAAAGCAAGACCAATAAACAGCCTATTTTTACCTTCAGTCTGTGTATCATTTCCCGCTCTTTTTTCTCCTGCACAAATTGCATTATCCAGTCTGGTTCATTGGTCATTGGCTGGCTGTCTAAAAGCTTTGTACTGCTTTTCCTGAGTTCATCTTTTGCAGTCATTTCAGTTGCTAATAGCCGGGACTCCTCCAGTTTCTTTTTCTCTTCGAAATCTCGGAGCCAGGAAAGAGCACCACAAATCAGACTTAATGATTTACCCTTAATAAATAAACAGAGAAGAGGGAGTGGAGATATACTTTTATACCAGAATGTAAGCAGGATGTTAACATTTATTTATAAATCAAATTTATATACTGCCCATCTCACTATCAGTAGAATTCAAAGTAAAATTCTAGAACCTTTTAAAATTTGTCCCATTTTTAACAAAATATCTGTAGGCTGGCTGCTAATTAGGCAAAAGTTGCAATTGCCACATATTAGATAGCAAGTGGAAAGCACCCCCCCACCTTAGTGTTTGCCCCCTATTGCAAGGTGTTCCTTTTTCACCCCAATGCTTAGACTCAGGGGTATCCCCAGGGTATGGTTAAAAAAGTCAAGATGGATGCCTTGCCCATGAAAAATAAATGGTGCTTCAATCACACTGTCATGGCTGCTATCTGGACTTTTTTCACCATAACCTGGGGACTTCCCTGCTTACACTTCTACCTTTATAGCAGAAAGGCTAGGGGTGTGTGTGTGTGTGTGTGTGTGTGCGTGTGTGAAAATAAAAAAGAGACTTACTGTGCCAGTTGGGCTCTCAAATATGCCAATCTTCCCCATCTCCAAGACCTGATAAAGTTTAGCCATAAATTGCTCTTGAATGGGATATGGTGTATAAGGAAAGGGAAAGTTCACTGTAACCTTTCCTTCAATTTCTTCAGCCATCTCCTGCCTGGAGGGGGGAAAAGACGTACAACAAGTTCCTAAGACAGATGTAACTGTTAGCATAACTCTGAAAGAAAATATTAGACAAGCACACATGGAGAACCCAACTGGCTCTCTGCAATTCTCAATAAATCTAACTGTATTGATCCCTGCAAGGATTTAGTCTTCCAAACCAGTATAGGGCCTGTTTTGTGGGAATTATATCTAAATCTGCTAAGATCTGAGCTTTTTTATTGTTTTGTACTTTGATGATTCATTTTTCTGGCTCTTTAGATTATTTATCTCATTGTTTTAGCAAGTGCTTTCTATGCTCTCGTCAACTAATATTATTAACTATAATTATCAACTATAATCTAGGCCAGCAGACGGCCTACATTACACCAGTAAAAAAACAGACCACCTGACTCCCAATAAATGTCAAATTATAGCACATTTAAGAGAGTCTATAGTTCAAATTGGCTGGGAATTTTGGGAGAGGTAGTCCCCGCACATCGGGAAAAGACAAGTTGGGGAAAGTTTTCTGGTTCTTCTGCAATTTCCCGGTGAAACTTACGGGGTAAACTGAACCTGACTTCCAACATGCCCGCGACTGATCAAAGAAAGCTCCCTCTTTTCCCCAGGATCTCCGCGAAACTCCCCGATAGCGCCACCTACCTTACGCCCCTGCTGCCCCTCTATTCCCTTTCCTCTGAAAGTGAAGTGACTTCGAATTGATCGCAAAGCACTTCCGCCCGCCGGCCCACCTCCCTCTCCTCGAGATGACGTCAGAGGCTTTCCCCCCTGG